CCATCAATCATTATGAAACACGCCTGGCACAATGATGAAAACACCTTGGGAAGAAATGAAGGTGCTAGAGCACAAATTCAGAAGGCATGTAAGTTGCTAAAAGGCAATTACTTTGAAATAAAAAACTATACAGGTACGATGGAGTCTGAGAGGGAATGTAACAGGACTTAAGCAATCCCCAGGGGGCTCGGCTGCACACAGAGGAGGAAAAAGCACCAACAATGTCAGATCCCCCAGTTCCCACTGGATCCCAATCAGGGGGGCTTTCTGAGCAAGAACTCCCAGCCTCCCCTTGGGAAAGTTGATTCTCCATAAAGGAGTCTGTTCCTCCGCAGTCTTCTCCTCCCTGCACTGTTCCAGTTTTCTAACCAGAGGCATTGTTAAAAATGTCAACAGAATATGGCTCTTTGTGTTTTATTTTTCTGTTTTTGAACACAGAAAAATGCAATGCTGGTAGGGAAACAAAACCATCAAACACAAAACGTTATCATAAAACTTCCCACGAGTTCTGTGATTTCCGCATTAATCAGAAATCTGCAAATTTACAGAACAGAGGGCGTAAATTTGGGCAGACCCTCCGTGGCTCTCCGCCCTCCTCGGGTGTGGAAGCCTCGGGGTACAAAGACAGCCACAGCCCTGCTGCCTCTCTCCCGGTGAAAACAGCCTAAAGGGCTGGCCAGAAAAAGCTGATCAAAGCTATGCCCTTGGAGGGACAAAGAAATCACAAGCCGAAGCCAGACAAGCCCGATGCCTGAGCACAAGGCTTCTTTGCAAAGATGCAATTTTGTTTTCTTTAAAGAGCTGGGTGTGAGGTTGCCAGCAGAGCCAGTATTGAGTGTGGACAATCAGGGAGAAGTAACAGGAGAGACCTCCGATACTCCATAGATAATTCCTGCTGGTCCACTGTGTGCCGACAGCTATGGGACATGGAAGAAACCAAAGGCATTTCCTACTTCAACTCCTCGTTGGTGCTGGGGGTTCTGCTCCCCACTCATGACACGGGCCAGCTTTCAGTCAACTCTGCCCTTTTGGTGCTCAGGAACCAGCCCCTTTGGATGTTACTATTAGTCAGTTATCATTTTAGATTTGTGAGGAGGCTGTTAAGTCCCGACACCGTACCTAACATGCCATGTGGAACTCTGCCAGGGGCTCTGCCAGGTGTGTATTACTACAACCCAGGAAGCCGAGGCCTAGAGATGAGCCTGAAGGCAGACAACACCGCTCTGGAACACTACTCCGGTGCAATTACGTTAAAAAGATGCCTCACTGTACCTCCCAGGGGCAGACTTCCCAATATGTTATTAGGATTAAGACAAAACAAGGAAAGACTGCGATCACACATCCCATTGTCAGTGACCTGAGCCAGCCCAGACCCCGAGTCCCCCTGCACTTCTGATGGCTACACCTGGATTCTTTTTTTGGGGTGAATATGAGCAATTAAAAAACCAATGTCCACAAACAGCACCCAACACACAGAGGGGGAAAGAGACTCAATTTTATTTTACTTTTTAATCCAGAAAACAGAAGCATTAAATCTTATCAGAGGGAAAAGCAGGATAGAATACATCACTGAGATAACCTTTATTCTGTAATTATTTAAAAGTCCACAAAAATACTCTACTTGAATATGGCTGTGACAGAGAATCGTCTTAAAAAAATCAAATATTAGGGGCCGGCCCCGTGGCTTAGTAGTTAAGTGCACGCGCTCCGCTACTGGCGGCCCAGGTTCAGATTCCAGGCGCGCACTGACGCACCACTTGTCAGGCCATGCTGAGGTGGCGTCCCACATACAGCAACCAGAAGGATGTGCAACTATGACATACAATTATCTACTGAGGCTTTGGGGAGAAAAAGGGAAAAAAAAGGAGGAGGATTGGCAATAGATGTTAGCTCAGGGCCGGTCTTCCTCAGCAAAAAGAGGAGGATTGGCATGGATGTTAGCTCAGGGCTCATCTTCCTCACACACACAAAAAAACTAATATTTTCTTATCTGAGCATACAAATTTTAGAGTCAAAATAACCTTAATTACATTTATTTGCATTTATTTGTGACCTAAAGTAACATTTACCACAATCATTTAATCTTAAATGTTTAAGAATCCAAGAAAGAGGCAAAGAGCAGTCATTTCTCATTAATTCACTCAGAGCATTTGAGAACCTAGGAACAGTTAACACCACGAGTCAAGTTAAACTTGTTGGCATTAAACTGTTATTACAAAAGGACACCACACAGGTTACTGAGATTTCGACTAAACTTAGGTCTGTTGCTGAAACTCTTCTGTCAATCCTCAATATCTAACTACCTTGTCATTTACGTCAAGTGAAAACAATTTTAGGAGAACTACTTGAGATTCTGGACCCGGGACTTGTGGGTGCTTTTCGTTTGGCTCTTAACCAGCAGTCTGCCTGCGCCCCGACGTCCTCTGCTATTCTTCTATTGAAGGGTGTCAAGACCCCCGCGACTCCTGCTCACCTGGCCCAGGACGCTGCCACTGTGGGGCACTGCTCCCTCTGACGATTTTCAAAGGATGCTTTACTTCCTCAGTTTTTAGTTTACAAGGTCAAAGAATCACTTATCCTTTCCTTTGTCAGAAAACAGAATATATGTTTGCTTTTTGCTCTTTTTAAGTCTCTTAAAAGAAAGCATCCTTAGACCTGTGAAGGCAGCATCTCTGCGGCCTCAGATCTGAGGGGCTCTGGTGGGGATAAGAACCTCAAGTCTCTGCACGGCACTGTGGTGCCTGGCTCTCAGGCTTTCTTGCTTTGGGAGCCCGGGTAGCCCACTTCTGGAGATCTCTCTTCCATCTTACCCACCCCACAATGCGACCAGAGCTCACTTGAGTAAGTTTCTGTTCCTTGAAATCTCAAGAGGCTTGCCTCTAGGAACCCTGAGGATCTTAGGAGGTAAATTAGGAAAGGTGCCCGGAAGAGCTACAGTTGGTAAAAGCTCTTGTACAATGTAAATACTGGGGGCTCATCACCAAGCCGCCAGCTGTAGGGCAGAATCCATGTGCTCAAGGATCCAGTAAACAAGCTATCTGGAGCACCGGGCTAACAACTCTAGGACAACGTGGTCTCAGCATCTTGGAGTGTGATTCAGGATATACCTGTGTCTGAAAAGGCCCTTTATTTTTTATTTATTTTTCTTGTGTGTGAGGAAGACTAGCCCTGAGTTAACATCTGTAGCCAATCCTCCTCTTTTTGCTGAGGAAGATCGGCCCTGGGCTAACATCTGTGCCCATCTTCCTCTACTTTATATGGGACGCTGCCACAGCATGGCTTGACAAGCGGTGTGTCAGTCCGCACGCAGGATCCGAACCTGCGAACGCCGGGCCGCCAAAGCGGAACGTGTGAACTTAACTGCCACGCCACCACGCCGGCCCGGCCCCAAAAAGGCCCTTTATTAACAGCACATCCTGCATGGTTGTTCAACAGTCCCACAGGTTACAAAATACATCTATGCTTTTCGTATTTTCCCTCTGCCTTCACAGATAGTAACATATAACATAATGTATCTTTTACAGTTTGCAATGATGCAGTGAGCACACACACACCTTTACCACCCACGCTGGAAGTCACTTTCCTAAAAAACAAATTTCCTTTGAGATGCTCCACTTGGTTTTTGCTGTTACTATGGAAAGTCACCCTCAAAATCTCTAAGAATTGACGTGCAAAGAGAATTAGAAACGACACCACTGGAAGTTGCTGTTTATTCCAACATCACATTGCCTGGGAGAAGACAACCTTTAAATGACCTTCAAGTCAGCAAGTGAATTTAATGGGATGAGAGGAGGAATTAAAAGCTAGGAAACGGTTCATGCCTTCTGGGCTCGCTCACACAGAACTGAGGGCCCCTGTCCGGGGACCCTAACCCTGCTGATTACCACTTGTTCCCTCGTTTCTCTGCAGACGCACACAGTGTCACACACGCTGGTGACAGGCTGGGAATCTGTGTTTAGAGAGGTAGCGGCATGAATGAAGGATACAGTGTTATTTCTGCGAAACCCCGGGTTCCACCCTGTCTGGTGCGTGATGCCCCACTCTCTGGGGACCTCTGTTAGCAGAGCTGGGTTAACAGACCATGCAGTATGACTGACCCAGTGCAGTGTTCTCCAGTGGCGTGCGGCACACAGGCCTTCCTCTTCAGAAACACGGTGGACGAGGTTCTCACACTCACCCTCATTCATCTGCATGGCCCTTAAAGGCCTAAGTGTGTGTGTGTGTGTGGGGGGGGGTGAAGTGGTTCCTCTGGTTTTTGGAATTTCTCCTTGGAAATCATCTTCGGCAGCAGTTTATAAGCCACAGAAGAAATCCAGTCTTATGACTCTATTGTCATGCCTCACTTTGGAATAAATCTATTTGCCAAGTGGCTTTTAGTTAATTCCAGATATCTCATCTATCCTCAGAGGACATGCTGACTAACGTGGCCTGGCTGTGAAGGCCACTTCCCCATTGCTGAGGCAGGTACCCGCTCCTGCAGGCTGTCACCCCCGTGCCACACAGCTCCAGGATGCAGTACAAAGAGAGCCTCCTCATTTTATAACCATATAATCCTATTTCAAACAACTCTGATTTCAAAAGAATTCTAAAAACAGAGAGGGGTGATCCAGCAGCAAGTTCCTGGGGAAAACTCTGGAAACTGAGGCTCTATCTTATAGGAGAAATAGAGAAAAGTTCTCCCAAGGTGCCTCCGCAGTCACCTGAGGTCTCTGACAGGAGTTACACTTACTTCACGTCTGCAGGGCAGCGTCCCAGGACAGCTGCATTTCATCAGGGCGTGGACCAGGGGCCTACAATAATTCACAGCTCGCTGGTCATGTGAGGGCATGGGAACACGAGGCAGCTTACAGTTCACTCGGCAGCCAGCTTCCAAATCATTCCCATCAGCGGAGTCTACTTTTTCAAGTGAAATTTTATTAATATTTTTATATTGTTCTATTTCAAAAACACAGAAAACGGGCACACAGTGCTTGGGTTTTTATTTACTATGACATCTGTGACTGAGAGCCAGCCTGGAGTCCACAGTCGGGAGGGGCCATGTGGCCCACAGTGCCCCAGGACCCGCGTTGTCCCAGCCCACCCGGCAGTGAAACATAAGCCAAGAGGCCCCCGTAAAGGTGTGGGTCTCAGATCACTTACAGGTTTTTAGAGCCCTCATAAAATGCAGTCCTACAACCAGCCGCTTCTCGTGGAAACTTGGACGCTAGGCGGGTGGGTTGGGGTGGGCTCCTAATTGATGGTCTTCTTTTGTTTCAGTTTAAGCTTGTTCCAAATCCTCTCCAGGGCCACTTTTCCCATGAAGTAGGTAATGGCAAAATTGCGCTTGTACCAGTCTCTACAGAGGAACAGGACCAGCACAGGTGACACACCCCCAGTGACTGAGGACTAGCCTTCAGGCCTCTGAGGTGAGTTCCCAGCCAAAAGGCAAGTCCCCCTGACTCCTCCTCCTCCCTTCCTCACTGTCTCGGCCTTTTTCGGCCTTCATTAAAGGTAAACTAGCCACAAAAGCCTTCCTTCCTTCCACCTGGATTTTTGTCAGGCTGAGAATAAGGCACAACAGTGATGTGCCCAGGGCACCCCAACCCCCATCTTGTCCCATTCCTGGAGGCCACTACAACCCTCCTCTGGGTTTTGCTAAAAGACTCCAAAAAAGCCCTCGGAAGGCTGCGGCCCCCCTAGAGTCCAGTGGCATTCTTGGAGAGAGACAATTGTTGAGTGATGGGGGCGTGACCACCCAGCAAAACGACTGGCAGGCTCTGCAGGAACTCAGTGGGGACCATCCTGGCTTTGGAACCTTATTTGCATAAGGAACACATGACAAAAGTACTCCATCGTGAGAAGCTAATTTATCACAAGTGCCGACATCACAAAGCTCCATATCCTCTTTTTCTAGATGATCTGAGCTTTTGTGTAATTTGTGTCTCTAAAGAGAGAATTCCAGAGCTCCTCATAGATGGAGTTCACACACAGTCAGGGGCTCACTTGCCTGCGACTTACTCTACAGAACATGCCGAATCTTGCAAATTTACCCCATTGTCAGCAGTTGAACAGGCAAAGCCTGGAAAGTTTCCACAACGAATGCACGCATTCCAGACTCTTAGTGCTAAGCCCTAGGAGGCTGAAATGCCAACGAGACCAGTGCTTTTCGGCCAAATGAGCTCATCGGTGAATGTGGAACTGCGATTCCGGACTAGACTCAAATGATTTACTGGATCTCAGCGTAGAAGGAATAACCAAGGGCTCAAAAGAAGCAACAGCAAGAGGTAAAAATGCTCGTTTTCTGGAGTCTTTGCATGGCTGGATAGAAAGCCCCTCTCCACATGAGAACCATTTTTACATTGCTATCCACTTACGTGATGCTATAAATCACTTAACTGTTTATTAATGAATTAAATAATTAATAATTATTAAAATATTAATTAATAATAATAACGAAATGGAAACCATTTGTTTATTCCAAATAGATAAGAAAAACTTCCAGGAAAAGAAAACCGGTATCCCTTTGGGATTCAAGTTGTGTTATTAAGGAAAAGCCAGAGCCCATTCTGCCAATACAGATGACTTGATTTAACAAAGTGTAGGGAAAGGCAAACAAAGCTTTTCCTGTTTCCACAGGGAAGCAGGGGCAGGAGGCGGGGGGCGCAAAGGGTGGGTGCTGAGGCTCCACAGCTGCCTGGCCTTGGTAAGGCTGGTCCTCTCTGCTCTCAGTGCCTCACAGTGCACATCCAGCTTACTGAGATGATGCACGGTGCAGACGTGCTGTGCCCGCAAGAGAAATCAAAGGTCCAGAGAAAGATAATCAATACCGGCTTGAGCGAACTAGTTCAGAGCAATACATGACAGCACGAGAAACAGAATCCAGACATTTCAGGGCGAATCTTTATGTCCAAGTGTTGCTCTCATGAGCTCCTCCAGCCTTGACCATTTCCACCATTCTCTAGATCCTGCCTCACCCGCTCAATCCGATGCTGTCACTATTACATTTTAAAGCGAATCTCAAACATCATATCCTATCATTTCCCCTGGAAATACACATCATTATGCATCGTTAAAACCTTTTTTAAAAACACATAACCACGATACCATCACTGCATCTGATAAAATGAACCTAACCTTATCCTTAACCTAATATACAGCCACTGCTCAATTTCCTCTGACTGTCAAAAATCTCTCTTTACAGGTGGTTTGTCTGCATCAGGATCCAAACAAGGTCTATACGTTGCATGAAGTCTCTTTTAATCTATAATAGATCCCCCTTCCGGGCCGGCCCCATGGCTTAGCGGTTAAGTGCGTGCGCTCTGCTGCTGGCGGCCTGGGTTCGGATCCCGGGCACACACCGACGCACCGCTTGTCTGGCCATGCTGAGGCCGCGTCCCACATACAGCAACTAGAAGGATGTGCAGCTATGACATACAACTATCCACTGGGGCTTTGGGGGAAAAAAATAAATAAATAAAATTAAAAAAAAAAAAAAAAGATCCCCCTTCTTCTTTCTTTATTTTTGATTCTAGTTACTTGCTGAAACTGGATCATTTGTCTTACAGAATTTCCAGCATTCTGGGATTGTATCTTCAGCCTGTCATTTTTCATTTTTTAATTTTTTTTGTGAGGAAGATCAGCCCTGAGCTAACATCCATGCCAATCCTCCTCTTTTTGCTGAGGAAGACCGGCCCTGAGCTAACATCTATTGCCAATCCTCCTCCTTTATTTCTTCCCCAAAACACCAGTAGATAGTTGTATGTCACAGTTGCACATCCTTCTAGTTGCTGTATTCAGGATGCCGCCTCAGCATGGTTGGACAAGCGGTGTGTCAGTGCGCACTGAACCTGCCAGTAGCGGAGTGCATGCACTTAACCGCTAAGCCATGGGGCTGGCCCCCAGGCTGTCATTTTAAACATGGTCTTCCATGAACCCTTCTCTTGCCCTCCACACACACCCTTTTCCCTGTGAACTGGTATTAGCTTTGGAGGCCTGACTAGGTTCCAATCCCATTCTTTTGGTAAGAACACCTCACAGGTGGTGCTGCATCCCACCTCCTGCATCTCACAGAGGCGCACGATGGCAGCTGCCCCACTCTGTACAACGTGAAGATGCACCAGGGGTTCGGGTACCATCAGCCTGACCCGTCCAGTGTAAAGTCCACATCAGCTTTCTTGCCCAGTGGCTTCAGCAGCCATGCGTGACTGTTGCTCAGATCCATTATTTCATTAGGAAAATGGTAATTTTCTAACTCCATCACTCCTTTTGCATTAGCTGTCATTCTTCTACAAAGAAAATGCTCCTTCATTTGGTTACCCTGAAATAGTCAGTACAGGCAAGGAGAGGTGCGCCTTCTTTGAATTCTTTACTTTTATTTATCAATTTTCAGAATAACGAGTTGGCTGCCTAGCAATATCCAGAGGTGACCCGTGAGCCTGTCAGTATCATTTGGTCACAAAGATGTTTGTATATTTGATATAGTTTTAATCCACTACAGTCATTTTCTTTGTGTGGCTAAAATGGCTTCATTTTTGGCCTGTGGGATCCCCTCAAGTTGGCTCCTGTACCATTCTCACATGACCCCAGTGGTGTCTGAGCCTCTTTGCTTTCAGACACAAGATGTCTAGACTCCTCTTGTGCTACCCCCAGACCGTGCTTCTCCCAGGAGCCCAGGTTCCCTTTAGTGGCAAGTGCTGTAGAACCCACCGTCCAAGCACTAGGGGTGCAAACTGCTATGGGACTGCCATGAAAATAACTTTAAGTTGTCAATCTTATTTAAAAGTGAAAAAACTAAGTTTACAGCAACTTCTACCTTTATTATAAACACGAATGCTGTTAAATTCAGGTAAGAAAATAATCTACCCAATATGGATGTGATACTCAAATTTTTAAGAAAAAAGTGAACACCTACCTGTTATAATACATGTGCTTCTGAAAATTTTTACTTAAAAATTCCTTATAAAAGTCAGCCATTTCTTCTGCATTCAATGTTGCTTTATGACCTGAAAATTAATTTCAACTTAAACATTAAAACTTAAGGGGAAGGGACCCACAAACAACTACTGATCTAATAACGGAGTTCAGCAAGGCTGCAAGATACAAGATCAATATATGACGGTCAACTATATTTCTATACACTAGCAATAAACAATCTGAAAGTGAAATTAAGAAGACAATTCCAGGGCCGGCCCTGTGGCTTGGTGGTTAAGTGTGCGCACTGCAATGCTGGTGGCCCGGGTTCAGATCCCGGGTGCGCATCGAGGTACCACTTCTCTGTCCATCCTGAGGCCGAGTCCCACATACAGCAACTAGAAGGATGTGCAGCTATGACATACAACTATCTACTGGGGCTTTGG